TGATACACACATTTTTGGGGGGACATAATTCAAACCCTGACAAGGGCAATGGGTTTGGTTTGGTTTCTCACAATATCATAATAAACTACTATGTAGGCTTTGTTGCTTTGTTACCAGGATAAGCCCTAATTTCTCTAAAACTCAGTTTTCTTATTTGTAAAGTGAGGAAAAATAACATTTCATAGAGTCTCGGGAATAAAATGAGAGTGTATGTAAAAGAACTTTGAAATACTGGATGGTGCTCTATGTATGTAAGGCATTATTAAGAAACCACCTGTTTATATTAGTTACACTTTTGCAGGGTATTTTATATCTCCCTGAGCAGGAGACTGCTCCTGTCCCGGGAGACTCTCAAGGATACTAATTAAGCTAACATGTTTTGACATTGTCTTGATTTTTCAGAAAACCCCCTCAACGTCACTTGTATTTTGACTTCAGTAGGAAGATGATAATTCATACTGACACCATCAAGATAAGTTTTGAGCTTCTTGAAGCATATGATGATTACCATAAGCATACGATTACAAGTTTTATGTTAAATAGTACAATTTTTAAACATCAGTAACTTTTACTTAACCATTGTTTTATGGCCTGCAATTTTCAGAATACTTCAAAGCATATTAAATAACTAAAAGGCAAAGAATCAATGTCTTTGTAAAGAAAAGAATATTACACATTTAAGCATTAGAAAACTCTTTATTGAAGAAAATATGTTAGCAACTCAGTAATCAATGAACAATTTATACGCTTTGAAATTTGAACTTTTAATCTCGTTGATAAGCACTTTATTATTACAAACTATTCACTATTGTAAGGATGAAATAAATATTCCTGGCCATATTTGTCCTTGATTTAGTGGCTTTTCATCTGCAGGACCTAACTGGCCATTAATGTAGGAGGTGATGAAGCGGGAACCGTGTCCCGGAAGGTCAATGGCAAACGAAGGCGAAAGGCTCTAACGTTCAAGTAGGTACCCATTAACACAGCACAGGTAAAATGGCTTGGGCGGTGTTCGGAAGTAAGGTAAACTTAAGCTCAGTTTTTGGTTCCTCTAACTGCACAGTGCCAGGCGCTAAATAAATGTTGCTATGGGACAGGAGCTAAAGCAAAACAAACAAACAAAAAAGAAAACATCAAACCAAACCCCGGAGCCGATTCCGACTCAGAGTAGAACTGCCCCGTAGGATTTCAAAGGAGTGGCAGATGGACATCGAGTCGAACATTAAAACCTTTCGGTTAGCGGCCAAGCTCTTAACCACTGCACCACCAGGCCTCCACAGGATAGCGGTTACAGTAACCGGTTACCTGAAGCATGGAAACCTGGTACCTAGAAAGGCATGCTTGTATTCGGAAGGAACCTGGTAACATATAAATACCAAGCGTGCAAAAACACTTTAGAAATGGCTTTTACAAACGTTACATCCATTTAAAGGAACATGTCCGAAAAAAAGTAAAACTGCTGCGATCAGTCAGATTACAGACAAAAGTAGCAAAAGGGGAATGAAGGAAAGAAAACATTAACAATCTTCTCCCAAGCACAGAGGATTGAATTTCAGCCAATGAGAGCCCAGCTTTTTTGGCCCAATCAAGATGAGACTCTGTTTATAAATAAGACTGCCTACGGCTTCTTGTAAAAAGCCGTTGAGATAGCATGGCCCGTACCAAGCAGACTGCCCGCAAGTCGACCGGGGGCAAGGCCCCGCGGAAGCAGCTGGCCACCAAGGCGGCCCGCAAGAGCGCGCCGGCCACGGGCGGCGTGAAGAAGCCGCACCGCTACCGGCCAGGCACTGTGGCCCTGCGGGAGATCCGGCGCTACCAGAAGTCCACCGAGCTGCTGATCCGCAAGCTGCCGTTCCAGCGGCTGGGGCGCGAGATCGCGCAGGACTTCAAGACCGACCTGCGCTTCCAGAGCTCGGCCGTGATGGCGCTGCAGGAGGCGAGCGAGGCCTACCTGGTGGGGCTGTTCGAGGACACGAACCTGTGCGCTATCCACGCCAAGCGCGTCACCATCATGCCCAAGGACATCCAGCTGGCCCGCCGCATCCGCGGGGAGCGGGCTTAAGGCATGCATCGTTAAGTCGGCGATCTAAAGGCTCTTTTCAGAGCCACCTACGTTTTCATCAAGAGCAGCTGTACCAGCTAAGGGAGACATGCATTCGGGTGTGGTGGGTGGTGGGGCTATGGAATCAGAATGCGTGGTGTTTCGTCGACTTGCAGACACTAGAGGGAGCAGTAGAGGTATAGTCCAGGCAGTTCCTGCAAAGTGTGCCTTTTAGAATGCGCTCCGGCTCGCTGGCAATTAACGTCCAGATCAGCACAGTTCCTCGATAATAAGGGGAAAACATGCAAAAAGATGGCATCTACTTAAGCAGTTGTCCGTAACACATTGCAAGCTGCACCTACAAGATGCACTCTGAATAAGAAAATTAACACTGTTTGAAAGCAAACATCCTTGTGTGGTAACTATTGGGATGGGAATCTGGGTCCGATGTCAAGTAAAATCCTCGCGCCAAGTAGATCAACCCGATTTAAACTGATAAAAAAGAGTAGGGGCAGGAGATCCTGTGATGGGTCCTGAAGTGTGTAAGATCCCGCCGGACAGGGGGCGAGGGTGGAGGCAAGTTCCTTTAAAATATTATGAAACCTTCTCTTGGTTCGCGTTTAAAAGTGGTATAAATCTTGTTTTTAACTGAGTATTCTCCTCATTGTTTAATACAGGCAGTGCAAACCGGGCTTGGAATTTATTTAAGGAGGACATAAACATCGGTACTTGGTTTCCTTACGTGTGGGCAGAGGTATAGTCCCTCCCTCTTCCCCCCTCAAAAAAAAAAATTTTTTTCCACAAAGTACATAGGTGTAAACGATGCAAAAATAAGAAAAAGTTAACTAGTCTTTAGCTGGCGCTTTAGATCTTCCTTGGGCAGCTTTACCATTGAAGGTGCAAACCAACCCCCACCCCCAAATCCAAACAGGTGAAACTACCTCTCTACGTAATTTACCGGTTAGCGTAAAACATTTTGATTGGCTAACAAGACTTTTGTTCTAATGACCACTAGGGAAGAGCAAGCCGAACACCATGTCTTGAACTCCACCCCTCTATGACGACAATATTGTAAATTAGCCAATAAAAATGCAGCACTGCGGTGAGTACCTATTTGCATACAAGCTCTATAAGTAGCGCAGACGCAGTTCGTTCTCCCAGGCTCCGAGTCGCATTTTCCGGTTGTTTCCTGTCTTCACGCAGAAATGCCAGACCCAGCGAAATCGGCTCCAGCTCCCAAGAAGGGCTCCAAGAAGGCTGTTACGAAGGTGCAGAAGAAGGACGGTAAGAAGCGTAAGCGCAGCCGCAAGGAGAGCTACTCCGTTTACGTGTACAAGGTGCTGAAGCAGGTCCACCCCGACACCGGCATCTCGTCCAAGGCCATGGGCATCATGAACTCCTTCGTCAACGACATCTTCGAGCGCATCGCCGGCGAAGCGTCCCGCCTGGCGCATTACAACAAGCGCTCGACCATCACGTCCCGGGAGATCCAGACGGCCGTGCGCCTGCTGCTGCCCGGCGAGCTGGCCAAGCACGCCGTGTCCGAGGGCACCAAGGCCGTCACCAAATACACCAGCTCCAAGTGAGGGCTCTCGAGAGACGGACTAGATCAGCTACTTTCCCCCAAAGGCTCTTTTCAGAGCCGCCTAAGTTATCTGAAAAAGATGGCTGTAAACACTCCGGTATATTTAGCTTTTGGTTATGTAAGGTGGGGCTGTAATAAACGTCGTCCTCACTATTGTGTCATCTAGCGGTACGAATCAGTTTCAGCAAATAACACAAGGTGGGGGTTATTTTCCCTAACGTACAGGTGGAAAGTCGCTGGTTCCCATCCTCCTCCCCTCTGAAGGTTTAATCCGTTGTTTATTGTCACCACACATCTTTAGGTATCTGTCAGAGTCATACTTAAAAAAAATCATTTCCTGGCCTACCTGTAAATCTTGATTTAGTCATGTTCCCCTGCCCTAACTTCCTCTAGCCGAGTGCTTTCTAATCCTGGCGGGAGATATTTTCCCCTACTCCCGTGGGCCAGTTAGTAGTGCTTGGAGACATTTTTGGTTATCATGACTTGGTGGAGGCCAGGGACGCTATTAAACCCCCTATACTGCGTGAGACAACCCTCCCCAACAGAATTAGCACCTATAGTTTGTGGGAGAAGCCCCAGCAACAAATAATTATCTGACCCGGAACGTCAATCCTTGTGCCGCGGTAGAAGAGACCCTCCTCCAAAGCCCTCCAAGAATTTAATCCTCATTTTCATCAAATCTTCCCTCAGTCCAACCGAACTGATTTGGTGAAAGCTGAGCACTTCATAGACTGATTATTTACACGTCCATCTCCTCCACAGGAGACTTATCTCTGACAGGGCAAGGTTATTGTCTTGGTTCGGTACATAACAAGCTTTTCCTGATTATATGAATCACCTCCCTGCTTGCTAAACATTCCCAGGTGCCTCTCCTGAAATTTCCTGAGTCAGTCAGGTTGAAGGTGGGGCCTGGGTATCTGTGTTGTTGTAGTACCCTCAGATGTTTCTTTTTTCTTTTTAAGTAGCTTTAGGGTATTTGGTGCCAAAATGTTAGGCCCTCAAATATTACTCAACCTGCCTGAGTGTGTTAGGGTCCTTGTGTCTGAGAAAGGGAATAATTTGAGAATGAGCGGAGAGTGAATTTATGGTAGACTGAAAGCCACAGTTAATATGTGGGATGACCTCTCAGCTCAAAACTCGTGTAACTCAGGATTAATCCTGACAAAGGCTGGAGGATGTATCATTTATCAACTAAAATATACCCTTGTAGTAATTGGAAAATCTTAGTGTACAACTCGCTTGACTGTCAAGTTTTGAAATTAAGCCATTCTTCATAAATTTAGGGGAATTTACATGGAAATTTTGTGCTTAAAATGAGTTTTATTAGTAGTTTTATAATGCAGGAGTTCAAATTTGCATCCAATTAAAAGTTGCCTAAAATGTGCTAGATATGATTTCTTTCACTGGGAAATTTAGATTTTTAGTTGAGCCATCTTTCTCTGACCTTCTCCCTATGACCACAGAGAAGAGGCGGGGAAAGATGACTCAACTGAGAATCCAGATTTTCCAGTGAAAGCAAAGAAGTCATATGAAATATATTTTTGGCAGGAAACTTTACTTATTAAGTGAGGTCAGGATGGTCTGTCCAGTCTCCTTCCAGCCTAGGAACCTGTAGTCCGGGGGCTCCCTTCTCCCCGAGAACCGGGGTCTATGTCTCCCACCGTGAGGGAAGTTCAGGCTTTGTCAAGCGATTCACCTACCTGAGCCATTTACCTGTTACCAAGGATTAACTCCCAACTCCTACCCTGAAACTAGGGGCTTTTCACCAGTTGGCCAAAACTCATCTTCTTAATTACTCCTGGTCCAAGCCACCACCATGTCTCCTGCATATTTACAGTTGCCTTCTAACTGATCTCCCTGCTTCTGCCCTCTCCCTTCTCACTCTATTTTAAGGACAGAGTAGAACTGCCCCATAGGATTTCCAAGGAGCACCTGATAGATTCAAACTGCCAACCTTTTGGTTAGCAGCTGTAGCTCTTAACAGCTATGCCACCAGGGCTTTGTGAGATAGAGCAGGAGTTATCAAAGTATGTCAGTCTTTTAACAGGGAAAGAACAAGACTGGGAGAATTACCAGACATCATTGAAGATATTTTTCCACATTTTGTGCTACAGCTGAACCATCATATGACTTGGCAAAAAGTAGAAAATCTGGGGAAAACTTCTAGATCCCACAATGTCAACAAACTTTTGAAAAGCAAAAGCAGGTTGTGTTTTCTTCTTTATCAATTGTATATTGAACATAAAATATGAGCAAAGCAATAAGATAGAGGATTAAAAGGTATAAATCTACCTAACAGAGGGGATTACGTTGGTATAATTACAGTTCAAGGCGCAGGATATGTTATTCCCCCAAAAGGAAATGTTATGTGAGTTGAGGAGAGTGAAAAATTGCATCTAGCTAGAAAGCTCCATGAGGACAACTTCTGTGTGCCAGGTACTGTGCTAGGTTATGGGGATACAAATGTGTCCCTCCCACCATCCTTGAAAGTCCAGGAAGTTCACCTGGAAGTTTGTTTGTGACCAATACAGCAAGCATCTCTGGGAATTTTTAAAAAGTTTTAATTTTACCCAATTTTGACTGTAATCTTTTTCAACTTTTTAATCATCTGATTTGGGTAGATGGAGTTCTCTACCATTCCACCTTTATTCTGTGATTAAAACAAAAAACGAAGCGTGATGCCATCGAGTCCATTCTGACTCATAGCCACCCTAGAGGACAGAGGAGAACTGCCCCATGGGGTTTCCAAGGTGCCGCTGGTGGATTTGAACTGCCGACCTTTTGGTTAGCAGCCGAGCTCCAGGGTTTTTTTGGATTCTGTAATTAGAGGTCCTTAATTCTGCACTCCTCATCCAGATATTAATACTTTTTTTTTTTTTTAACTTCTTCTGTTGGTACAAATTTCATTTTCACATGGACTATTATTTTATGTCATTATGTTGAACAGCTCTGACGGTCCCACCCTCCTGCCTGTACAGTTCAAAGACATTTAACACACACACACACCCTCACATCACACTCAGCTCACAGCATATTCAAAGTGCTGGAGTTTATTCCCTGTGGTCCTAGCTTGAGAGAAATTTGATTTTCCTATTTCCTTTGAGATTAATTTTCTAATTTTTTTGGGGTGGTGGTGGTGGTGTGTGACTATCACAATGGAGGGAGCATTGATGGTTCCGTGGTAGAAATCTCTCCTCCAATGCCGAAGACCCAGGTTCGATTCCCAGCCAATGCATCTCATGCGCAGCACCATCACCCATTGGTCAGTGGAGGTTTGTGTGTTGTTATGACGTCAAACAGGTTTCAGCAGAGCTTCCAGACTATGACAGACTAGAAAGAAAGACTGGGCGATCAACCAATGAAAACTCTGTTAATCACAACAATCTGGCTGCGATCTTGGGGATATGCTGTAGGACTGGGCAGAGTGTTGTTCTGTTGTGCGTAGGGTCGCCATGAGTTGGAGCCGACTCGATGACCGCTGACAACAACTACAACAACATAATGGTAAGTGAATAAGCCTTTTTCTTTGTCACCCTAAACACAATTTTTACCAGAAAATCCTGTTGGCTCAAAATACGCCCAGCATCCAACCACGTCTCACCACCTCCACTGCTGTCTCCCTGATCCAAGCCACCACCATGTCTCCTGCATATTTACAGTTGCCTTCGAACTGTTCTCCCTGCTTCTGCCCTCTCCCTTCTCACTCTATTTTTCCACAAAGCAACTAGGGTCATGTTCCTGAAACATAAATCAGATCATGTCACCCCACACCCTTCTCCCCAACTGAAAAACCCTACAGTGGCTTCAGAGTCAAGGCCCCCATCTGCCTCTTTGACCTCATCTCTTCCCACTTTCCCTCTTGCTTGCTCCATTTCATCACATTTGTCTTCTGCTCCTCCTTGAATACACCAAGATACTCATCTCAGGGCCTTTGCATTTGCTAGCTATTTCCTTTTCTGGAAACTTTCTTCCCTGAGATGTTTGCATGGCTGGCTTCCTCATTTCTTAAGTTTCTGCTCAAAAGTTACCTTAACACCTTGTCATTGAAGCCTTCCCTCACCATCTTATGTAAGATAGCAGGTCCACCCCCTGTCCCCCAACATGCTCACACACACACACACACACAAACATACTTGTTAGTAATCCTTATCTCTATACTTTGCTTAATTTTTCTTCATATACCATCTGAATAATGTATTTAATTACTGATTTGTTTATTGCTGAATCAGAGGCTGCTAGTTATCCACATGTCTTAGTCATCTAGTGCTGCTGTAACAGAAATACCACAAGTGGATGGCTTTTACAAGGAGAAATTTATTCTCTCACAGTCTGGGAGGCTAGAAGTCCAAATTCAGAGCGCCAGCTCTAAGGGAAGGCTTTCTCTCTCTGTTGATTCTAGAGGAAGGTCCTTGTCATCAATCTTCTCTTGGTCTAGGAGCTTCTCTGCACAGGAACCTCACATCCAAAGGACATGCTCTGCTCCTGGCACTGCTTTCTTGGTGGCATGAGGCCCCCGAGTCTCTCTGCTCACTTCTTTCTTTTATGTCTCAAAAGAGATTTGCTCAAGACACAATCCAATCTTGTAGATTGAGTCCTGCCTCATTAACATAACTGCCACCTATCCCACCTCATTAACATCATAAAGATGTTAATTTACAACACTAGGAAAATTACATCGGATGCCAAAATGGTAGACAATCACACAATACTGGGAATCATGGCTTATCCAAATTGATACACATATTTTCTGGGGACACAATTCAATCCATGATACCATCAAAACTATTCTTTCCAGCTTACTTTAATTCTTTTCCTGGGTACATGGCTTCTTGATTAAAGGCTAATATACCAGCTTCTCTTGCATCTGGGTGTGCCCGTGAAACAAAGTTTCCGGCCAATGAGATATGAATGAAAGTGCTATGTATTTATTTCTAGTTTGTGACCTTAAAAGGGATAGGTATGTGCTTCTCTTGCCCTTTCACCTTCTCCACTGGTGGGATGCAGATGTGATGGCAGGAACTGGGCAGCCACCACGGATCCAGAAACAGAAGTCATGTGATGAGGATGGTAGAGCTGCCCTGAGAAAACTTGTATCTTGTTTAAGCTGTTTTTTTTTTTTTAAAGTTTGTTACAATACCTTAGATGGCAGTATAACAAATACATTGTCTGTCTCCCTTCCTGCCTCCTTAGAGTAACTCCTATGAAGGCAGGTTCTTTGTTTGGTTCACTGCTGTATGCCCATCATCTAGAGTTGTACCTGCACTATAGTAGGCACTCAATATTTAGGGGATGAATGGATGGATGAGGGAGGGAGTAGTAGTTGAGAGGGAGGGAAATGGGATTGTATTTATGAGAGGATGAGGTCCAAGGTTGAATTTAACAAGAAATGATTGTTTGAAATCTTTTGCCCTCTGAATGGGGAACAGCACAATATAGAGGGATGGTCTGAGTAAAACTGCAGCCACCATGGTCCACAAATCGGTTTAGAAGATTCATAGCATAAGTCATTGGGTGTTCAAGGACCTTCACCTAAGCTAACTTGGAAGCAGTATGAGGAGCAGGATAGATATTAGCCATTAGGAATCTCCTAAAAGAGTCAAGGGATTATAATGGGTCTGAACTGGAAGGAACCT